AAGTCTTTTCCACTAAATATTTTTTATTATTTATTTATTTATTTAGTTTCAGAATGAAACATAATAAAACTATTCACCTGAAAATGTATTAGGTATATGGTGCCATCTAACCTTTCTTGAATTTTTTGCAAGGCCTTAATCATTGAGAGACTGAAATAACACCAAACTAAAAATCTCACTATACCTTCCAACTTGAAAAATATCTAATCTGTCAGTTTCTGCGTACAATGTTCCAATTCTGTATCAGTTTCATCTCTCAGATTATTACAATTCCCTTCACTTTTTTGTACCACAAAACTCACTGTTTAACGCTGCATCCATATCCTCAAGAATATGAAGAGAATTTTCTTTACTCTGGGGACCTCCAAACTTAGCCATGATAATTGATTTCAGGTAAAGCAAACCCTTTATCGATTTCGATCTCGAACTTGAATTTATGCTATGCTAATACATACAGGACCAGTTTAGATTATGCTTTTGGTCCCAAAACTCAATAAAAGAAGTCCCTTTATCCATTTCTTCCTTATCCCAATGACCAATTGGTTTAACTTTCTGTAATTTTATACTGTTGGAATCCGCCACACACATTCTTGTTTGCCTTAAATACAGCGTTTCCACTGTTGCAATACTTAACTCTTGCTTTGCAAGGTAGTAGCCATGATTTGAGTGCGTTTTCAGTTTACACTATTAGATCGTACTGATTTCCCAACTGTTCCCTTTTTTAATACTGTTGAGTGCTGTCTAATTCGATGTTTTGAGTTGTTGAAATATATAGAATGTCGCGATGACGAATAGAAACACCCTTTTTCGCGTCCTCCTTGACACGGATATCAATATCGCACCAAGCGACAGCAATAAAACAAGCAGCAGCAGTAGTTCTTACAATGGATCGGATGCGAACTTCGATAGCAATATGGTGATAATATTAGCAGCCTTGCTGTGTGCATTAATATGTGCACTTGGCCTAAACTCTATTGTACGTTGCATTATCCGATGCAGCCGAAGATTTGGGTTCGTGACAGCTGAAGAGGCTGCTGCTGCATCAACAGGTCTCAAGAAAGAAACTTTAAGCCAGATTCCGGTGGTGGTTTACAAATCAGGACTGCACATTCCAGCTACAGATTGTCCAATTTGTATTGGAGAATTCAAAGAAGGAGAAAATGTGAGGATATTGCCAAGATGCAATCATGGCTTCCATGTCAAATGTATAGACAAATGGTTAGTTCTGCAGTCTTCATGTCCAACTTGCAGGCGGCCATTATTTGAACCTTCTGCTAATAATAATGCATGAGTATGTTATAGTGATTCGATCAAGCTCAGTAGGGGTGACGGATTCCCTTTTTTGCACCTAAATTCTCCGGCGAGAATGTTGTCTGATAGGATAGAGCCTTGTGTACATGTTAATTCAGATAATATTGTTACTCAAATGGTTATCTGATCCTTCCTGTTTCAGTATATATTAGAAGATTAGAAACAGAGACGAGCCA